GTAATTTTTTTAGAAAAAAGTTTGGGAAAAACAACAACACATTAAAAAAAAAAAAAAAAAAAAAAAAAAAAAATCTAGATTTAGATTTAGCAGTGTGTGTCTTTTTAAAAATGAAAACTTTCATTTTATTCTGCAGTTTACTGGCAATATTTATTTTGAGACTTTAATTGCAGAAAATGGAAAGTCATTATAATAACAAAAGTATTGTTTTCAGACCTCAAATAATGTAAAGAACAATGATTTTTACCATCTGCTGCTATGTTGCTATGCTAAAAGCACATAAACATTTTTATGTCTACTTGACATTGTGCAGGGAAAAATGGATGCCACCCCTACTGCTGCTAGTCCAGGAATGAAACCTGCATCAGGAATCGCGGCACCACCTCAGCCTACCAAAATAGCCACACCACCGCTAACTGGCATCGGTAAGATTAAATCCTTCTTTTGTTTTTCCAAAGATAAGACATTTTACTCATGTGTCCTTTTTCTCTTGATAATTAGTCACTAGTTATTCTACTCTCTAAATTACCTTTCAAATTTTATAAGATATTCATTTATATGCATCCTTTTGTGTGTATTATTAAATAGGGGTGATTTGAGGTGACAAGTTATATTTGAAATAACTCCTTTTATATTTTCTGCCATGATTCCTTTAACAGAGAAAGATCATGATTGCAAGGAGGAAAGAGATCAACAACTATGATGAAAATAGTCATTGCTCTGCTGTTTTTTCCATCTCAGAAGGTTATTGGAACATTATTTGAGTGAAGAACATTTAAGGCAGTTAGTTGTAAATCTATCGAAGAGTGGCAGTCCCACCAGATTTTCCTCAAGCTCAGACCAGCCAATGCTCAGAGAAATTCCAAAAAAATGTATGAACTCCATCTCAGACTAAATATGTCTCAGTTAGCATTTTAAATGTTACAGTTCATGTCAATATGGCTTGTTTAGATGTTGTACTGACTCCTTACTGAAAATAACACGGCAGCAAACTTGCTTTTGCAATGTTGCATATTAACAAACCGCAGGACCTCCAGGACGTCGTCCATTATATGAGTCCAAACTTTGGACTCCAAAGGAAAGATTAATGGCAATAATGAACAGTACCACATTTTGAAAAAAAAAAAAAAACACTTCACTTCTCAATAATACATTTGTTTTTGCTGTAAAAAAGGCTTAATCATCTTCATAGCATGCTAAATCCTACATGTAGCTTTGAACACTTCGCTTTCACCAATGCTAACCGGTTTTTCTTTGTTAGTTTTCTTTAATGTGTCAGCAAACTAACATAACTTATAACCACAGCGTAGGGTTGGAAATCATTTTTATTATATTTCCAGGCTCCAAGGCAGCGCCTGTTGGAATCAGTAGCAAGCCTGGAGGCATAGGCAGCGCTGCAGCCGGTCAGCCCCCAGGTCCTGAAGGGGAAAATGTTCTAACCAAGATCCTGCAGGGAGGGGCAGCCGAGCAGGCAGGAAAACTGGGAGATGGTATGATGATTTCTTTTAACTTTTGTTTTAGAACTAGTCTTTCAATATCACTAGGGCAAAAAAACACAACTTTTTTTGCACATAGTTCTGTAACATATGTACTTCTAAATCTCTTTTGTCCATCTGGCAGCTCTGTCTGGCCTTGGGAAAAAGTTCACCTCATTCTGGTGAAATACCAGGAGGCGAGTAAGTACATTGCAGCTTTTGTTCTCACACAAATTGATCACAATGTACACCTTAATTTAGACTTTTTTCAGTGCCTTGGAAAAGTTTCTGGACCTCTTCATCTTCTTAACATGTTCTCATCTTATAACCACAAACTTAAACGTATTTTATTTAGAGAAAAGGTTAAAACTTTCATACTTACTGCAGTTTTTATTTTTGTCATAGATGAGTATTTAAAAAGTGTGACTGGCACTTGACTCTGAAACCCCGAAATAAAAGTGCCATTAAAATTGATCGAATTCAATGGTAACTTGAGTCCTCTTGTGTCTGATTTCACCTCAGTATAAATTCATCTGTTCAGTGAAAAACCTCAGAAGTTTGTCAATAGCATAGTTGATATAAAACAATAATAGCAAGCTTTCATTCCCTGTTATCTCCTTGTTAGTTCTTGTATTATTATTTTTTTCAGTTAAACTTTCACCAACTGTTTCTTGCCTCGATCTGCTTGTATTTGGGTCCAGCCTTAATCTAAAATATTGTAACTCTTGAGGAGATCAGATTATATAATCTGATGATTGGAAAACTGTAAAATGTTAATCATGAATTCCCCGACATGTGCTTTATGGAAGAAAGGCAAGTTGAATGCCATTATTGAAACATGATAATAGAAAATCTTGTTTGTACTTTGCCTGAAACCATATAGGAGGTGAAACTAACATGTTGCAGAAGTTGCTTTGGTCGGATGAGACCAAAATGTAACTTTTTGGCCTATTTCCAAAATGATACATGTGGAAAAATACAACTGCACATCAGGCCAAACTCAACACCCCAGCAGGGACGGCAAAGTTATGATTGTAAGACATGATTTCCTCTGAGGCAATCCTGAATGAAAATCTGTTTGAGGTTGCAGTGGACTTAAAACTGGGGCTGACGTTCACCTTCTAGCAAGAAAATGAGTCTAAACATGGAGACAGAGCTAAGATGGAATGGTTTAGATCAAATGGACTGAATGCATATGGTCCTTTTCGAGTCATGATAACCTCTCGTAAAAGCCACAGCCAACCAATCACACTCATTAATGTGCAGACTTACATTCAGTGACACACAGATTGGTAGGTCCACGTGTAACAGAGGGAAGCTGGATCGAACCCACAACTTTTGGATTGCAAGAGGACTACTTTAAAAGCTACTATGAAAGCACATCCATGTATTAGAATCACCCAGTAAAATTTCAGACCTAAATCCAATTGAGCGTTTGGGGCAAGATTTGAAAATTGATGTTCACAGATAATTTCCACTTAATCCTACTGGGCTGGAGCTGTCTTGCAAGAAAGAGGGTAAAAATGTCATTCTTTAGATGTGCAACGCTAATAGAGACATATCCCTGCAGACTCACAGCAGAGAGTGTTCTTACCAGGGGTCTGAATTTAAATGTACGACACATTCATAAAATTTTTATTTTTGTAAAAAATGCTTGAAAACCATATTTTCCTTCCAATTTTATAATCGTGGTACTTTGTTGCTACAACACATAAAATCTCAAAAAAGTAGATTGATGTTCCTTATTGCAACATGACAAAACGTGCAAGTGACAGAAAAAAAAAAAAAAGAATTGGGTGAAGCATAAATCTCCTATGAGATGCCAAACATCGCAGAGAACATAATGTATGATATTCATGTGGAATAATGATATATTGATTTATGGCTTCACTGTGTTTTTTTTTCTTTTAGAGAACACAAATACAATGAGATGGACTGGTTTCTTTGTGCTGGAAAACCTACAACACCATCTTAAATATATTTTAAATCCACCATGAAAAAGAAGAATGATCCTTAATGCATCAGTCAGTATGGATGTTTTTATTATTCTGTTTTTGTTCCTTATATCATTAAGCAGGTGAAAACATGATAACGCAGAAAATACTTTACAAATTTTAAATTGTATTTAATTATGCTAAATTTTACAATGGACTGAAAAAAATGGTGAATGTTGGTACTTTTATATTTTTTTCCTTTAATCAAAAAAAAAATCATGTTACATTTGGATTAATAGCTTAGCGCTTTACCATATGTGTATTTACATAGATTAGCATAGTTTATGTCTGCATAATGAGAAGACTCAGGTGAAGTGATGACTCATTAAGTGCTGTGACTCTCTGCACCTTTCCCTTACCCCAAATTACCAAACAGAGCTGGAATCAAAGGATGCCTTGTCAGCACTGAATTCCCCAGACACGGGCTCCCGATTGAAGTGAATTAAATAAGGGGGATCGCTTTGTCAGCAGACTGTTACAAGACATGAGAGGAGGACTGAAGAGGCCTGAAAGTAAGTGGAGGCTTTGAAAGAGCTGTGGAGATGCCTGAGACCTCATTAGAACAATGTTAAGTTGCTAAACGATACCTGCAGAGGTTTCTGAGTGTGCATATAGATATTTCTGCATTCCCCAACACAGATTTGCTTAGATTTTTAAAAAATATATATTTTATGGTTTCTGTGTGGAGTTTAGAGTTATATTAAGGCCGGAAAATAAAGTTACACTATGCTTGAAACTTTGGCTGCAGAGGGGAAAGGCCAAAGCCTGAAGAGAGTGAGTCAGCAGCGTCTCACTCTGCACACCTGCAATAATCTGGACCAAGCAAGGCGTGCTGGAATCAGCCTCAGAAAGCTAAACACGTCTTGGCTTTAATGTCAACACACGCAAAGACACAATCTAGAGAATGCGTGGCTTCTTTGAATCATGACACATGGTACGCATCATTCATTACATAGTAGATTGAACAATTTCTGCTCTGCTGAGCAGAGCTGCAGAAGTGCAGATAAAGCTAATTTGAATTCACTGTATTTAGCTTTTATCAAAACACGTCTTGTGGATTTTATACATGAAGCCAAGGCTGAGTCAGTTGAGAATCTTATTTGGCTTCTGTTTTTGTTGGTTAAGATTAAAATCAACAATCATATTTTACACAAGTAATGTATTGTGTGGAGAACCATTTTGAGTCAAAGCATGGTGATGGGTTTCTCAAGGCCTAAAGCAGGGGTCATTTACAAAATTTGGGCCAAAATTTTGCCCTTCTGTTTATTCACTTTAGTTAAAAATGTGGGGCAACTCTGGTTTTGTTGCCCTTTCTGAATAAAAGCATCCCATAACATTATGCCACCACCATGCTGTATGATTTTCACAGCTGAATTTAGGTGAAAATTAAATCACTCATGTAATTATTTATAGCTGACTTTTGAAAAAAGTGCATTTTGCTGGATTTTATCTGATATCAGAGCAAAGTGGTATGAATAAAAATCGATGCACTGTTCAGAATGTTTTTGTAAAAAATTATGAAAACCATGTGTCATTTTCCTGCCACATTACAAGTATGTCCTTCTTGGTCTACCAAATGAAAAAAAACATAGTTGTAACAAATTAATTAATTTTAATTTTTGTAAACCAGATCAGGTGCTATGGATGAGCTTCGCAATGGACTTCCTTTATTAATTGATCTGATTTTGAGTTGTCTTATTTAAGAACATGCATTCCAAGATTAATCTCATTATAATGACTAAAGTTCAAAACCCTCCCTGTGACTGTCTGCTAATTTCTTTTGAGGAGTTCACCTTAGAAGGTGAGAGTAGCCAAAGTTGTTTAGCACAAATTTTAACCAGACTGAATTTTTCTTAAATTTGAAACTGCCATATATATATTTTTTTTTTCTTAGAAAGAAGCTTTTTTGTTTGTTTATTTTTTTCCCCTGCACAAGAATTAGCTACTGGCTTATATCGACTTGTTTTCATTTGATCAAGCTGAATTCTTTATTGAACTGTGCATGCACCATTAATAATTCAATAGTGCACTGGGTGAAGATGAGGTTCACTGCCCAAATTCATCTAGAAATAATTTTAATAATGTAAATATTAGTTTAACTACATTTCAATATAAGGAAACTGTAATTTATGCTTCTTCTATGCCAGCAGTTTATTTATTACAGCCAACATTCACATTCCAATTCTGTTTGATTTGCTTTTTTTTTTTTTTATTTCCAGGTGAGTAATAAGGAAGTGGTGAAGTTCTGGGAGAAAGCAGCACTTCTTTCTTCATTTCTTTCATCCTGCAGAGGAATGCTCCAGCATGGACTCTGTGAGAAAGCAGTACAATCTTCACTAACAGAAGCAAGGGTAGGGGCATATTGGACAAACCGTCCATGCATGTCACCTCTGATTCAGCTCAGCAAAAAGGAGCCTCACAGCGCCCTCTGCAGAGTTTTAATTGTAACACCACTCGCCTCTGAGGAATGTAGGTTGCACAAGGACTCTAGATTCCACATTGATGCTTTGGGAGCATTCTAAAAAAAAAAGAAAAAAAGAAAAGGTTGTATTGCGTAGGTTTTCCTCGTCTCAAAGGAACCAGTCTTACCCGACAATGACAACATGTACCCGGAAACGACAAAGCTTTTGACAGCAACAACAAACCGGCTTGGAGATTCCTTCGAAACCCTGGAAATGCTTCTCCACAGTCCATTCCAGTATAGGGAGCTTGACCCGTTCTCTGAATGTGTTTTTAATTTATCGTCTCTTCGTTACTGTGTCTACAGAATGCATTGTGTAAATGTGGACACAGGAATGCACGCACAAATGGAAAAAAAAAAAAAAAAAGGAAAAAAAATCTGGAAAAAATAAGCCCATATCAGTTCTTTTTTCTCACCACTTACATAAGATGCCGCTACTCATTAGGTGTTGGTTTTTTAAAGGAAGGGACTTACTACCAGCGTGCCCATACGTGTGAGAGTCACACAGATGAGAGGACCAAATGAAAGAGTGGCCTCGGCTCTTTATCAGCCATTGCTAAGCCATCGTTATGGACATTTATTGATTTGTCTCATCTTTTGTTTATTATTTATTTTTGTTTTCTTGTTCTTTTGCCTGATAATGAATGGAAGAGCCTTATTCACTTATGTTTTTGCTTGTATACCTCATGTTTTAAGATGTCCATATCATTATGAATTTCTTTTTACACTGTATACTATTGTATGTACATAAAACAAATCAGAGATCTATGATGTAAATTGTCTTTTGTGTATTTAATGAGTCACTCTCCGGTGAATTTCTTTATTTTTTGTTGTTGTTGCTATGTGTTTTCTTTTTTTGTAAAAGTTTATATTTTCACTTTGTAATTGTTTGATTCTGTTATTGCATCAAATGATTTGCTTCTTGGTTTTTAAAAGCAATAGCATGCAGCAAATGGTATATAGCACAATGGTATAAATGTTTTTTTTTTTTTCTCAATCAGTGATGAGGGGGAATATCAAACAAAAATCAGTAATAAAAATCTGTCAGAGGGTTTACAGCCACAGCACCACATGTACAGACATGCATGATGACGTTTGGATGCGTAAGAGCATGCAGAAAGGCCGACACACACACTCTCTATATATATGTGTCTGTTACAAGCTCATACACACACACACACACAACACTTTGCAATCCCAGTTCCACTTCAGAGCCAAGGCTAATTGAGTTTTCACCAAATAGACTTGTTAACCTCCTGCTGATTAATGAGGTTACCAATCCACTAACAAGCCGAGCCCACTGCCTCTGTTTCTGCAAGACACACACAGAACAACACAGACACAGGAGAGGACAAAAAGCAATTATCAAAGTCAAACGTTCTATGCAATGACTCATTTTGAAACGTGGAAGTGACTCACTCTAAAGCAGTTTAGCACCGTCGCTGTACTCACAACAAAACATTAGAATCATGAACAAAAAAAAAAAGGTATAAAAAAAATAAATAAGTGAAATGAAAATGTTTTTACCTGGAATCTTGTCTGTATGAATTTGAATACTGAGTATTGATCTAGACTTGTTTTTATTTTCGTGGCATGTTCTTAACCCTCCTCACGCTCCCTAAAAAAAATGGGGAATTGTGGGGGACTTGTTGCCAAAGGGTAAACTTGTGTAGACTGTCAGTTTTATGAATGTCCACCATCATGTTGCTTTTGAAGCATGGGGTTTTGCTTGGCTTCATCTGGCTGTTGTTTATGTTTTTTTGTTTTTTTTGTTTTGTTTTTGTTTTTGTAATCCCTCATTCAGTCGTCGTGCATTTTGGCTGACCTGTTTGGCTTGCAGTGACTGTCTGTGCTGCTATGAACCTGTACTGCAGATGGTCGAGCACTTCTCATCAATTCGTGTCAGTGTACATATTTGGGTGTCAGTATAACCTGTGGGGTGAATGGAATGTTTATATTGGATATACGTCATTGTTGACTCAACCCACACAGCAGCCAAGTCATTTGAAAAGTGCATGATTAGATTATTCTTGAACGTCATAGTAGAAATAATAATAATAATAAAAAAGAGAAGTCAAGCATGATTTTAAGAAGGTTTGCCTCACAAACCTCGACTCCAACCGGCCAATGATGATAATATCAGTGAGTTGAAATGTTCAGCCAGTCATTCACAAATCAGGGCATGTCATTTGGAAAGCACAAGCCTGACTGGTGGAGCTCGGCAGAGTGCAGGGACAGAGGGTGCGTAACAGCGCCTCTCTTAAGACGTGCGGCAGAACAAAGCGGAGGTGCAGTGTGGTCGATACGAGATGAAAACAGCCTTCAGTGCAGCCACGCGGATAAGCAGGGAGGCAGACGGACACATTCTCACATTCCTTACTGTAAATACAACCTCATTACTCTGTACAGCTTTTCAGTTTGGAGTACGGCTGTCATGTGCATCCCCATGCCGTATTTGCTGCCAACTTTTGTGTATAAAAAAAAATATTTATTATGATCACAATAATGATGATGAAAGTAATAATAATAATGATTATTATTATTATTACTGTTGTTGCCTAAGCCTAGTGTATGTGGCTGACTTGTACTAACTCTTTACAACAGTGGAACAAAACTCGTGCACATATCCACCCATCCAGTGTGTGTAGAGTTTCCCTACGTATCGTGTCAAGAAGCCTTTGTCAGGCTAACAGAAGGCTATCAGTTTTGATGGATGTGATCTCGGAGGTTGAGAAGAGGGGGAAAAAAAAAAGAAATCTGGAAAATGTCATTCACTGTTGTAAGTGCAATGGGCAAAATGTCAGTCGTGTATCCATTGTGAAACCCTTGTGTTCTATTCAGTGTATTCCTGTAAACAGATAGAGTACATTTTGGTGCATCATGTCAAGTAATGTGAAAATATTGACCCTGCAATTTCCAAACGGAGAAACGAATAAAAAGAAAAAAAAGTTTATTGTGACTACTGTGTGCAGACTCTGTGTCAAGGTGGGTGCGTGCGTGTGTGTGTGGTTCGCGCTCGGCCGTAGCAAGGTAAGTTTAGTTCAGGGCTTACTGCCGATGCAGAAGAGAGATCAAGAATAAGACCTCGACAGCTATGAGACTGTTCGGATAAGAGAGCGCTTTGCTTGCAGAGGTGGTGATGATTTATCCTAGTGTGGGTGGTAGAGAGAGCGAGAAGTGTGAAGAGCCGTGCTTGGCAATGCGCTGGGAGAGATGGAGGTGTGAGGATGATTCTGTGCAAGAAAGAGAAATCAAGCTCTTCCGTCTGTTGTTTGTGGATTTGTAAATGCAAAATACAGGAGAAGGCTATTACTATGTTGTTTTTGTTGTGTAAAAATGCAACAACGGGTTGGAAAACTACCTATTTGAAGTTGTTCACATTTTATAACATTGCCACTGCAAACTTTAGTGTGGGCAGTTGCTTAATGAAAACGTGGGGAATTATTAAGTCAGAAATGTTTGGCATGCTGATGTATTCATCCCCCTTTGCTCTGAGTTGTAAGCCTTCATTAGTCACCTAATTAGTAAGTTTTAGTTCACTTTTATTATTTCAGGAAACACTACGTTAAGATTTAAAATCCCTTTTCAGCAGGGTCATGGAAAAGGGGCAAGGAAAATGTTTAATTCATCATTTTTTATATTGTCAAATACAATCAAAGTTGGGGTTAAGCATGAAAACATCTGCATATTTTTCCATATCTTCAAAACACATTCTGCAGCTAATTCCAGGAGGATGGAATTAAAGAATGCCTCGTTCTATCCTCAGTCCAGACCTTTGGCATTGTCAGAATGCAGACAGACAATCTGAGAGCAGAGACTTTAACATCAGATCATCTTTTTGTTGACATGGCTTAGCACTCATGCTGGCAGATGTCCAACAATTGCTATATAAATGCTTTAGTAAATAGAGTCCATCTGTGTCCATGGTTAGTGCCTACAACCAGTAGTCATGCACTCCACAAATCTGGCCCTTATGAAAGAGGGACAACAAGAATGTTTTTGCTGAAAGAGCCATTTGAACTCCAGTTGACAGTTTGCTCAACCCATGTAGGGGATGCAAGAAAGTGCTCTGGTCAAATGAAACCACGAGTAAACTCTTCGACCAAAGTCCAAAAACCATCTGAATGCCAACCCACCCTGTGGTGAAACATGGTGGTGACAGCATCATGATGTGAAGATGTCATTTTTTCCCAGCAGAGATGGGGAAATTAATGGAGTCAAACATTGACTTTTAGGTTTAAAGAAACCAGTTAGGAGCCACAAAGAGCTGGGGGGAGCTTCACCTTCAGGACGGCAACCTTAACGAATACCTGAAACCTTTAGATAAAAGATTTTAAGTGTGGGCGATCCACCACCCTCCATCAGAGAACAAACAGAAAACTGATAACCTGCCCACCCCCCTAATTGCATTATCACCATTATTTCTGTCAAATCTTTGCTGCTGCTAAGTTTGATGTTCCATTCATGTTTTATTGATGAGAAATTAATGCAAAACCTGATTAAGCTGGGTTCATATTTTGTTTGCAGTATTTCAGCTTCTGGTTGTCATCTTATGGGTGTGCATGCAATTTTACAGCACTTATTTTCTTTTCTCTTTCTTTGTTCTTTGTCTTTAAAATATTTCTCAGTTCTTGGGCACAATTACCTTCATACATGAGTTTATCATAAAATCCAGTCATATAATCTGTCAGTCAGAAGACTTTATGCATAAAGGATTACTTCACTGATGTTTTCAGTTTGTTGTTTCTTACCTGATGTACATCCACACTGCTCCACACTAAACATGTCCCAGTGCTGATATTGTTTGTACAATATATCATTACAATTTTGGAAGAAAAACAAATTGGCTTGACTTTAATAACAGGACTTTTGAGAAGCTCTGTGTGGCCAACAATCCCATCTGCAGAAGAAGACTGCCCTCTACTGGACTAGAACAGAACTGAAGGCACAAAGTCAAACAAATATTGTGCGGCTTCCAAAAGTAGGATAATTAATCAAAAATATTTCTAAAATAATTATTGTGTACTGATAGTACACATAATAATATAAGGAAAAATCAAAACTGTTGATAGCTTTATATCAGCAGCTTTCACCCAGAGAGCATTCTGACCTTCAGGCTGCACAGCTGCCGACAGCAAAACGCTCCAGCAGGTCATCACCGCAGCCCAGAGGATTACCTGCTGTCCCTGCCATCATTAGAAGAACTGCCTGTCACTTCCTGAGGAAGGCAGTAGACATGGCCAGAGACCCCTCCCATCCTGGACATCATCTGTTTGAGCTTTTGCCGACAGTGCAACGCACATAAAACCGAAACAAAGATACTAAATAATGTTTCTACCCCAGAGCCATACATGCACAACACTCTGTAGCAACTACACAGTGTATTGATTGATTGGATTCCTGAGTGTTTAACATTTTAGTTATTGCTGCTTTCACTGTTTTGTTTTGTTCTGAGCAGCTGGAGTTCTGCATTTCAATTTTGTTGTATTTTGGGTCTTGTTGGTTTGTGCTTTAAATGATTGGATGGGGCCTTTGGAAAGGTTGATCCAGACGTTTTATGCTAGTTTGATTTGTCTACAAACGGTTGTAATGAATGTTTGGGATCATCGTCCTGGTGGAGATGTGAAAGATCGGGTTATTGGTCAGCACCCGCTCTGTTCATGGTGATGTTAATCTAGTGTGGACGGTGACGCTGGTGTAGTATCTCCCAAGATATAATGAAACTCGAGTCTTTGTAATTCCTGGATTGTTCCTGAACATCATGATCAATGTCCTTTACTTTTTGGGCCAAATGGTTCAAATTTGGGCACAATTGTATTTCCTAACATGACTATGATCCTGAACACCTAATCATGCTGTTTTTAGCTGGGACAAAGCTGAACTTTATTCAAAATGTATGCCTTAATATCAGCACTCTGACGAGAAACCAATCAATTTAAACAGGATCCACGTCTTCTACTGAAAGCAGTGATCAAACATGCCAGGAACTTGTTGTTGGTGATGAAAATGTTTATTGAGGTATAATTTGGCAAGGCCTATTTTACCACTTATTAAGGGTGTTTGTATACTTGTGACTGTATGTGTAATTTTAAACCCACATGAATTAAAAAATAAATAAGTGCCCTAGTTCCTATAAGATTCACTTTTGTAATCTTTTTGTTATATGCAGGATTTCCGTATGTAAATTAAAGAAGAATTTCAGTATTCTCCCGGTCTGGATAAGTATTTGTGATACCAAGTTTTATTTCCTGCCCCAGGAGTCAGACACATTTACAATGTCCGTTTTTACCTTCTGTCCCTCTTTTTATCGTTTTTCTTTCTCTCCTTTATCTTTTTCTTCCTTGTGTCCTTTCGTCCTCTGTTACTTTCGTTCCATTCTGTGTCCTTCTTTCCTTCTTTGATTTCTCTTCAGGTTGCACATTTAAAAAGCTTGCACTGTTTAAATATCTGCCAAATTGATAATGCTCATTTGTGTTTTGCGTTTAATCTCAAACAACTGAGAAAAGTTTAACATGAAACATGAAGGATAGTTTTCTTAGACATTTCTGAATGAGTAGAATCGCTGCTTGTACACAGCCGATTGATTAGCAGTCTCTGGTTATCATCTGGATTGCTTGACCTCAGTGTCCTCAAATCAAAGGCATAAATGTAAAATCATTAAGCTGTAATTGGGGTGCCTGCATTCATCCATTTCCTGAAAGCCGTGACAAGAGCCTGTGCCTCTGAAGATTAACCACTTATTAACGTCGGCGGTGACCTCCGAGAAGAAGTTCATGACTCATGGGCAAGTGATGGGAAGTACAGGAACTTGAGGCTGAATAGTTATCCTGCAAATTAGATATTTGTCATTGTTACAGTCAAAGTACCATCATGGATAACTGGAACTGAGTGTCAAAATGAATTGGATTCAATGGATGACGAGCACCAGCTTGTGTCATTATTTTGTGATGTAAAACTACATTTTTAAGCTTTTTTTGCTCCTTAAAATCTATGGGATAAACTAATAAATCACACAAGTGATTAAGAATCCACTTAAAAAGGCTTAAGCATGCCACAGGAAGCAGATCCATAACCCAATCAGCCCTGAATCCTGCAGGCTGTGGAGTGGATGATGGAGCTAATGTGGCTGAAGGACAGCTGCCAGCTCAGGTTTTTCAGTCTCACCCGTCACTCATCCACGTGTTTACTGACAACTATCACACACATACACACAACCAGGGCAAGAAAAATATCTGCAGGATACGGACAGGTGAAGTGAGTAAAGATTTTGTAGGGAAAGAAAGTAACAAACACACATGCTGAGTGATGTGATGACAGTGAGGAAGGCTGAATTGAAAAATGGTGTTTAATGGTGATTTGTTTCGCCGAATCTCTCCTCTTTTATGCATTTCTATGAACAAGCCAGATCTTTTTTGTAATTTAAACTAATTCAACTTTATGTTTAGGAGAGTAAAACAACACTGGTTAGGATATTGTGTTTATCTGGTAGAGTAGAATTACCTAAGGCAATGCAATATCTGCTTAAGTTGTTTTTATTTGTTACGCAATCAATGTTGTGTCTTACTTTCTTTGGAAACTTGTTCCGGTTGAACTTTCTGTCAGAATATGAATGCAAATTTCCAATGTGTTTGCTAAAAAAATTTTTTTTTTTCTTGTTTTCCGAAAACGTTAAAATACGACTGACGATATATAAACCTTAACCTAACTCTGTATTAATGGAAAGCCAAGAGTAACAAAGGCCAGAGAGTTTCT